ATGCCAGATAGAATGACAGATAGTATGCCAGACAAAATGCCAGAAGATATGCCAGATAGAATGCCAGGTAGATGCCAGGTGGGGATCACTCGAAGTAAAGTAATTTTGTGTGTGTTTTTTTGGGGGTGGAGTTGTTGTTCCTCTTCCTTGGAATTCCACCTTGTTCGATTCTTCCGGGCTGGGTGAACCGGGTCTTGCAATGCTTCAACCTGAGGCTCCAAATATGGCTTTGATCAACCGCATGGAGGGTTCCAAATAGCAAGCCTCCAATAGAGGTGTTTCCCCTTCCAAAAGCCCAAGCATGTGCTGATGTTGAGTGTGTCAAGTGAGGATTGGGTTTCTGATGCGTTGGTGATGGTGTCCGGCTCTCACCTATAGTTAGCGCTTGGGAAGACCAAGCAAGGCATGGTTTTTGATTGGTAGATGTTTGTGGAATCATTGACCTCTTCACGCGGTTCCTTGGCCTGGTGAATCCCCATGGTCCAGACATGTCCAGACATCCGCTGCTGCGTGGCACGGGAGGTTTGTGGGCCATGAGGAGTCTAATTTATAATGTTTTTGATCTGCTGGAGCATGAGTACGACCATCCCAAAAACATTTTGGGATGCAACTTCTTGAGATCTCTTTTGATCAAAACGGCAACTTCTTCAATTCAAGAGATCTGGCCAGATGCTGGTCAGAGTTGGTCAACTACTCAAGAGATCCATATTACTGTATATATATATATAGTCCATTATATATATACACCATTATATATATATACTGATACTCCATTATATTTTATATACCCGTATACCATTGAGATCTCTTGAGCAGCTTCTTGTGGTCTGGTCGCTGGTCAAATCGCTCGGACATGCAGAGAAACTGGTTCATAGACTTGTACTGGCGGCTTTCGCACATTTTGCTAGTGCATGAAACTGGTGTTGCAGGGATGGTGATTGTCCATGTTGACTGACCGCCCCTAACCTTTGTGCACCTACAGTAGGGTCCCGTGTTGCCTCTCGCGATGACTGCGAAGCGATGACAGCGACATCCGAGGTCTTGGACGATGCCGAAAGAGAGCAGAAAAGCAGAAACAGCATCTCCGACCCAAGATTTTATGATGGAGATAAGATGAGACAATGAGTAAAGGGCAGGAATCTTGAAAGCAAGCATTGTAGATGTTTGGATTCTATTCTCTAATTTACATGAAGAGTCTGGCCCCCAGAGGTTCCCACCTCGCAGAAGGTCATTCCCTTAAAGACGCTTGTTCAAGACGGAAGAGTAGGAAGCTGGACCGAGTTGATGTTTTTGAAGCCACTCTGTTTTTTAGCACAAAAGTATCACATGAAGTAGCACCATATGTCGAACATACCATGACTATCATTCCTATTCTGAGCGTTGCGGGAGCAAAGCGAGCGAAGCTGGACCGGTGCGTTACCATCGTGGCCAGCTTTTACCATCTATGACCCCTGTGCGTTGCGGAGCGCAGCCTCCATCTTGATCGGTCGAACAGTCGCAGATGGGTCGAAGACCTCAATTCTTGCCACTAGGATCATGGCAATGTACGATCAACATGGAGCAGCTGGACAGGCAGATCATAGCTGGACAGGCAACCAGGTCAGATCATTTTTTTCGTTCTGTCGAATTAGGAGCCCAACAACTGGAACTGAAAGAACTGACCACGCTTGCCCTTCGCAGCACTCCGGCAGAACGTGCCACATGGCGACGGCACGGACCCGCGCTCCGCTCGCTCCGCTCCTCACCGCGCTGGTGGCGTTGCCGGCGTTCGGCCTGGACAATGGCCTGGCACGAGTGCCACAAATGGGCAACTTGGGATTGACAGTGGGTCTAACATTTGCAGGTTCCTGTTTTTCTCCACCAGCTGAGGGATAAGATGTGCTCCACTTGCATTCCTTTTTCAACTGAAGTGATGGGTGCACGCAAAAAAAACCTTCAGATGCCTTGAATGCACTTATATATAAACACAAGTGTCCAAGAGTCCGGCGGGTTTTGCTTCGTATCCCCCCCCCCCCGGCAATGGACTCCTGGCAAGTCTTCATGGGTTTAAAACATGCTTGAAGCAAAGCTCGGATGGACTCCGGATCTGGGTGATCTGGGTGGTAGTGTCAGATATTTTCACCTTTCACCTTTACTTTACTTGAGATGATATTGTTGCCCACTGGTCCTCATCATTTTCGTTCTGTTTCATTGAAACCACCAGCCAAGGTTCATGCATCATGCATCATGCGTCATGCATCATCGTCCGTCCTGGACTAGTGGACTTCGTGCGCGGAGGTTGGCCGACCATGCAGATTCCGGAACCTGAAAATCCTTGTCAGGCTTCCCCCTCAACTTGTGAGCGCAATCGAGGTGTAGCATCTAGTGAATGCTATCCACCTGGAGCCGTTTTTCCAAAAGATTGAAAAGGCATCAGGAGGGTCAATGGTTTTTCTCAGTCTTCGTAATGTTCATCGAGAACTGTTCGCCCCGCCATGTCGTTTTCGCCGGCCACCGTCTATAACAGCAGCCGAGGTTACAACAGCTGGTATGACCTGGAATGCTCTGATGCCATGAACGTCCCCTTGGCCATCGAGACGTGCGTTCTCGAGTCTTGTGTGTTTCTTCGGGACTGAAGAAGTTGGATTTTGGGGAATGCCGTGGACTCCATGGATGCCGGTGATTCTGAAGTTGGGATGCCCTAACTCAGTCGACCCCAGATGAATGTTCGCAATACCTGGAGCCAGGAGAGTAGCGTTCTGTTTCGAGTGCACATACACTTGAGTCAGAGACAAAACTGTCATGTAGTTTTACTAACTGGGGCGTTTGACGATACTTATTTTTTGTGTTTCCTCGAAAAACGGGGGACGTCCTAAAAACTCTAAGACTTCCGCCGAGATGGGAAGATCCAGCCAGCTTGGAGCCGTTTTGGCAGCACAGCTTGACCTTGTGAAACTCCATGCAACCCCCCCAAAACGTTTCACCACCCCACCGAACTCCGTTTGACTTGTTGCTATATACATTTACTTGTATATAATCCGCGCTCCCCACAAACCCAACCGATCGCCGTTTCAGTTTCCAGAACAAACGGAATACATCACGTCAATAGTTAGTTGACACAATTAGAAGGATATTATGACGTGCAATATATAGAAATGGCTAGGACCTGTTTGGGTATGGCCTTTTCATCAGAGAGACGACCTTGGACATTTTTGACATGCTCATGCTCCTTTTTTGAAGCCAAGATTGGTGGCGACCAGTCAGGACGTTTTTTTTTTCACTATAATTCTAGAGTTCCATGTTCGATCCAACCAATCCCGTACGACCATCGGTCAGAGAACTGTTCATGAACTTTGCAAGAAACTGGTCCAAACCCGAGGCATTAAAGTGAGAAGCTGGGCCGTTCTGGTTGTCCAATCTACATGTAAAATCCAAAGTATCACCTTTGACTTGACTTCCAAGTGCTCCCGGAATCTTCCAGACCGGCCTAGGAGTCAACCCTGCGCCGCATTGCGGATCGCTTGGTGGAGAGCGGGTTGAAGGACCTGGGGTACCAGCAACTTAGAGGCACCCATGCTCCGGTGTTGTGCCCTCTGTGCGTGCCCGTTCGGCGCGCCCGGAGGACAGCGCCCCATGTACATCGTGCATAATTAGATACAGGTGTTGAAATACAGGTGAAAACACACAACACTAACCTGTATACACAACTACGAATCTTTGCTTTAGGCGGCGGGCTGGTCCAGCCGATGCTTACGAAACAAGACCCTTTGCGGCGATTGTGCGCGTCAGATGCGCGACATGCAAAACGTTTTGTTCCTGGGACGGCACTCATGCATGTCAAGTGCTCAAACGTGGGGTGAAATGTCATCTTGGTGCACCCTTTGCGAAGATCACGCGTGTCGAGTGCTCAACGTGCAGTGAAAAGCGAATGTTTGTGTTGTTGGTGAGGCCTTGGTGGATGAGATGGTGCATGTCGAGTTGCTGACGTGTAACTGTCGTCGAAGATTAGCGGTTGTCGAACATGAATAGTGGAAGTGGCCAAAGTGTGCAACAGTCGTCGAAAAGCCGAAGTCGAAGTGTGTAACTGCCGAACTTCACCGCATCGCCACTCAAAAACATGTTCACAGCTGCGGAACTGAAAAAGTTGAACACCACCTCCAACTTCTTCACCCCCTAGAGAGGTCTTTTGTGAAGATACAAAGTGAGTTTCATCATGAAGCTCTAGAAGCAGGGGTCCTCTAAGGCATAATAGGCCGGTGATACTGAGTTCTCTGACCCCTGGCCTTCGA